AAGCATAATGACATGACTGTTTAAATGCATAATAGATATTGATTAAACAAAAAAATACAGTGGGGTCAGTTCGGACGTAGCACAGCTAAACAATATGCTAATTGTGGCCGTTAATGTTAAGTTAACATTATGCCAAGTCGTCACAAATAAAACAATGCATGGGAAATGGCTTTGGCGTGTTAGCTGCAGTGCACTATGCAACAAGCTATTGTAAACAAGCTAACGTTAACTAGATAAGTAATATTTTAATCACTTATACAGCAGATTCATGGAAAATTACATCGGTAATCAGCATTTTTGCCGCAACTAATTTATGAAAGAGTCTGCATCAACTACATTAAAGAGAATCGCTTCATTTAAAGTGAATAAAATACCCTACTTACTGGAGTTCAACATTAATTGAGCCGCAGCCACACACCTGACTCGTGTGTGTACAGTAGGTGAGATGAACTGGGAAAGCAGGCAGTGGGCCAAACCACTGTGAGGAAGGGGAGGGGGAACTCAACTGTTTCTAAATGCATTTTTTGCGTTTGTTTTTTTTTCTACTTACACAATTATTTTAGGTATACATACATATTTTTTTCACAATAGAGAGTGCGATTTTTTTTTTTTTTTTTTTTTGGGGGAGGACAACCCTCGGATGGGGGGGGACATGTCCCCTCCGTCCCCCCCGGGATTTATGCCCATGTCTCCAACTCCGGTCCTGGAGAGCTACTATCCAGTAGGTTTTCTATCCTACTTGGCTTCTGATGAGCCACACCTGTTCCTGGTATTTACCTTCATCAGAAGCCAGGTAGGATAGAAAACCTACTAGATAGTAGCTCTCCAGGACCGGAGTTGGAGACCCCTGCTCTAAAATTTATAAGCTTTAAACTTCTTCTCTATCGAGACATGGTATGAACTAAGTAGTTCACGATGTCATAATACTTCAGTTTGGGGATTTCACCCACGCTGCAACACTGCACTGTAATTATAACAGTGTTATAATTACATTACCCTTATTATTTATTTTTAATAAATTATTTTAAATTAAATTACCAAACTATATTGTTGTGCATGTTAGAGTTTTATAATGAGTCCCCAACTTTTCTCCTTTGTAGGTCCCCAAGTAGTATGTGACAGCAGATCTACTAAAACGTTTCATATGATCCCTGGACAGACAGGGCCCCCTGGCCTACTTGGGCACCCTGGTTCTCCTGGTGATCCTGGGGTGGTAGGATGCGAAGGACCAAAGGGTGAGCACCCGTTAAATGAACAGTATTAAGAATAGAGTCTGAGAGTGATGGGAAAAACAGCGAGAGCGTAGTGCATCCAGTACTCAATATTCGCTGGTCTCCTCATAACAGAAGTAACAGAGCTGTAGAGTTTAATGGCCACAGGCAGGATGGATCTCCTGAGGCTCTCAGTGGTGCACCTTGGTGGTATAAATCTGCTGCTGAAGGAGCTTTGGTAACTGGTTGAGGTGTCATGTAGGGGGTGAGAGGATGTGTGTAATGGGGGGGTCACACCCTCATCAAGGTGTTTTATGTACATGCAGGTATATTAGTTGATGTGTTCTTGCAGGTTTAAAGGGTCAGAGAGGTTTGCATGGCCAGCCAGGACAGCACGGACCTTCTGGACGAGTTGGACCTCCGGGAGATCATGGAAAAAGTGGAGAAAAGGGAGTGCCAGGAGTTCAAGGTCAGCCTGAAGCCAGGGACAGCAGTGGCATTGTCCTGTGCCTGTGACCATTGAGGATTATAGATAGCAGATGAGATTTTTAGATTTTTGTTTTGTTTTTTTTTGCTGGATTCAGGTGCCACTGGTCAGGAGGGTGATCCTGGATATCCAGGCCCGCCTAAAAGGGTTAGCTCTGGGTTCCTGTTGGTGCAGCATAGCCAATCAGAGGTCATCCCAGCATGCCCACTCGATATGAAAATATTATGGAGTGGTTACAGTCTATCCTATCTGCAACTCCAGGGGAAAGTACACACAATGGACCTGGGTATGTTTATCAAGGTGAACATGTATACTCCATAAAAATGAGGTTATTCTCACTAGTGGTGTGATGGCTTGTTAACATGGCTATGCATCTAAGACGGGGCTAACAATAGTCATCATTCCTAGGTCAGACTGGGTCGTGTTTGAGAATCTTTAGCACCATGCCATTCTCCTTCTGCAATATGGGCAGTTGTAGCTATGCTGAGCGCAACGACAAGTCCTACTGGCTAGCCAGCACAGCACCGATGCCCATGGCACCCACATCTGGGGCACAGATCCAGCAGCACATCAGCCGCTGTGTCGTATGTGAGACACGATCACCCATCTTTGCTATGCACAGCCAGGATGCATCTAGCCCACTTTGTCCCTCTGGCTGGCGGACACTGTGGAGAGGATACTCCTTCCTCATGGTAAGTATGGTCAAGGTTTCTATTTTGCACTCATGGGGTTAATGCATTTTTAAAGTAAATTAATGGTATAATGTTGTAATTTCCTAAATATACCAGTTCCTGCATGATTAGACTGATTTTTAGGAGAGGATATCTTGCTGAAAGTGCTTTGATATGCATTTCAGCACACAAGTGGAGGCGACATTGGTGCTGGGCAGGCTCTGATGTCGCCAGGAAGCTGTTTGAAAGATTTCCGTACCCAGCCAGTTATTGAGTGCCAAGGGGAACGAGGCACCTGCAGCTACTTCACCATGGGCTTTAGCTTCTGGTTGACCCATGTGGATGAACTGGGACAATCAGAACTCGACAAGTCACTGGAGATACTCAAGGATGAGATGCAGCAGCGCCAGCATGCTGGCCGGTGCAGCGTCTGCATGAAACAGTGACACTTCCATCACCTGAGCCCTACACGCTGCATTTGCTAGCAGAAATGCACTGAAAATGCACAAACAGCTTATTAGATTATCTGGGAAAATACATTTAAGACACTCTGAGATATTTCAGATAACTCGTTTGAATGCACACATAGAACACAGTTACAGTACACAAAATATTCCACAGAAGAAATTCAAAGAACAGATTCTAGTAAAATAATGTTTTTAATTGGCTTAAAATTGCAATATGAAGGTACCCAAAACTTACATTTATGTCAATTTATTTAACAGATGGTTTTTTTCCAGAATGACATACAGAAAATGAAGATATTTCATTACATCAAGTTGACTTAGCAGTTTTGTTAATGTACTATTCAAAAGCATAGTTCCCAACCTTTTGATATGTGCAGACCAGTTTATGTTGTACAAAAGTTTCACACTCTGATATAATAGGTGGGTTGTGGAGGCTTGGGTACCAGCAGATCGATCAATCTCATAGGTTTAATCATTTCCATTTTTTTCAGATGCAAATGAAAGGTGTGAATGTGAAGGGTCAAAAACTTTAAAATATGTGGTTTATTTTTGGAAATTAACCAACTGCACCAGAAGAAACCCAGCATTCTGCTCCCCTATATAACAAAAAGAAAGAAAGAAACGTTAGAACTGCGAAAAATAATTAAACAATCAGTAATGCAAAACATCAAGGTAGAGGATATGTCTCAAACACCTTAACATGTTACCCTCATTTCTGCCATCAGGAGGGGGATGAACCCTCACACTACCAAGGTAATCACTTGGTTAGTTAACGGACATGAAAAACTAAAAAGTACCTTAATTCATACATTTTATCAATATTGGTTTTTTTTTGGAGAACATGCACTTTTCAAGTATTCAAAAATATGCCACTGCTCTAGATATTGGAATTGTACAGAATATGTTTTGAGAATTCATAGTGCGTTGACACTAAACTGTCAAAAAATGGAGTACCAATTTGTACCTTTGCTTGTCGCTGGGGCTGTACCCTCAAGGGTCTGCCAATTGTACCCTAACAAGGGCGTAACTTTGGCTGGAACATTGGGGGGGGGTCGAGGTCTCCACCCTATATTGGCTGGACATGATTATTGGGGGGGTCATGACCCCCCTAGCCCCCCTGGAAATTATGCCCATGTACCCTAAGCTATAGGAACTTGTACCTTTGACTATGAGGAACATCTTTATACCATTTGGGGGTACATTAATGTTGTTTGTATTTTGGGGATGTTCTTCAGAGTCCATTTCTGTACCTTAAATTAGACTAAAAGGTATATCTACCTACAGCTAGGGTACAATTGGCACACCCTTAAGGGTATAGCCCCAGTGACAAGAACATGTACTCTTTTTTTCTGATAATCAACCACCATACAATTGCCTTCTTTGAAAAATTCTTATAGAGTTACATTACATGAAACTCTAAATAAAAATAAACTCTTACATTTGTATTAAAGAGTTTGCGTAGAGTTCAAAGAAGTGTAACTAAGAAATGTGTCCATATTACAAAGGGTAGAATTAAAAAAGCAGACAAGTTGGGTAACAAAATTATGCCCAGCCAAGTGTTGGAATAAACAAGCAATACTCACTGTAACTTAAAGCGAGATGCCAATGGTCAGCAATCGTTTGCAATTTATGTTATACTATTATTCACCATAGAACCCACAGTAAAAACATTATAGTTATATTGAACAAAATATTTGATTGATTTTGTATTAACTGCTTAACTATATGTGGTATGTTGTAGAGCAGTTGTACCACTTACTTTATGTCTGTAACACAAATATTTATTTAGGTATAACTTATGTTGGTGATAGTTGAAATGGTGAAAGCATATCAGTTCTACCCAGAATAAGAACTGAGTTTATCTGTTCTGTGTCAGGAGCAAGTCATTATTCTGTTTAAGTTAATTCATGAAAATCCACTCTTTTCTGTTAAAGCCAGACATCTTGTCCCCACAATATAATATAAACATAATTCCACCCACCCGCCCGCCCTAGGACTATTCTTGGCAGCACAGGGAATGGGAATACACTTGAGTGGGGATGCCAGTCTATGGTAGGGCAGCTATACACTATGGGTAATTTAGAAACACAGATTTGCTAGCTGCTGAGCGATCATGCCACTAATAACTCTGCTCTCCACTCACAGAAGTGTTGCTTTATGCTTTAACGTCAGTGTTGCACTCTGGTTCTAGAAGATAATAAAAAAGAAATTCAAGTGTCACACAGGGGCAATTCTAGGATTTGACCTGAAGACACACAGGGCACCATAAATTTAACAGGCTGAGAGGGGGGGGGGGATACGAAATGTATATGAATGCTGACCCAGTTATTTTAGAATATCAGTTGCTCTAACACTGAAGTTCCTGACACCAAATACCCTAAAAATATTTTGCATGTATTTATGCAGATGCTGTTGACACTAAATAAATGGATTTATTTACAGGGAGCAACATCAGAATCTTTCACAAACAACCAGACATCAGTGACTCAAAATATAAAATTCTATTATATGGCATTATCTTGCACAACACAGTTATTTCCAATAAGGAAAAACTCACCACAGAGCATTTAATGAACTGTATTAAAAGTAATCAGTCTTGTCAAATCTTCAGTGACTAGTAACATTTTTATTTTTTTTTATCAAAGTGCAAAAATATCTTAGATCTTCCATCATATAGATTGATAAATAAAAATCCCCTTTATTTAAACCACAGAGATTCTTTCATATACTTTACAATGTAATTCTTAAAACAGTGCCATTTTATATAGCTGACATTAGTTGCCTATAATATAATAATACTACATATCAGTAAATCTTTGATGGAATTTGAGAAGATTTAGCCTATAGGTTTAGCAGTTCCATCCACTCAGGTAACAATCCGATCACTGATCAAATCTCTGTAGCCGCCGCTGTCGGAGCTCCTCTGCATTCACAAATCCATACAGCATTCTGTCGTGTGGAGCAACCCCTGCAAATAACAGTGAAATGACCATACAGCATTTTAATTCCACATAGTTAACCTACAAAGGAAAGTACTTTATTGGCACAATCGACAGTTCTGATTTTCAGAAAGAAAATAAAGGAAATTATTGGGAAGGAACAGCATAGTAAGCACTTTACAATGTGAGCGAATGCCGAGCCGCTCACCTCTCTCATTCAGGCTGGCCCTGATAGCCTCCTCATACTGCTCCTCTTCAGAGAGACCTCCTGTGTAGGCATGGAGCTCCGGGTTTGGTTGGGGCCATGCACTTTGGCCACTGTGTCCTAAGTACAGACATTTATTTATGCACATTTAAATATGAAATATGCTGAAAATGTATATTTGAACTGACTAAGGGTAAAATGATCAAATAAAAACAGAACAGGATGGTGAGATATAATTACATCTCACCAAACCACCAGCTGCACAGCACACATACCTGTATAACTGTAGTACTGCCTTCCTGCATTAAATTGATCTGATGTCAAAAACCCTATGAAATATAACATGAAACATTAGTGCTCATGAAGACTTATATAAACCCTTTGGCTTTAGTACAAATCCTTCATCACTTTGAGGCAAGATTCAAAAGGCCATTGCATTCACCAAAGCCAGAACTGTCAACTAAAGTACACTCACCTAAACGATCATTAGGAACACCATACTAATACAGTGTTTGACCCCCTTTCGCCTTCAGAACTGCCTTAATTCTACGTGGCATTGATTCAACAAGGTGCTGAAAGCATTCTTTAG